GATTTTAGATAAGGTTACTCAAAATCATTCAGCTGTGGACCCATTCTCTAGTCCATCAAGTCCCAAAGAAGCCAAAACTACTTGTGTAGCGTGCAGTCAAGAGCCAGAGAATTCACATACGGCCATCAATGCACAACCTGCGGTAAATGATATAATTCTTTTTAAAAGCTCATTTTTCATCATCATTGCATGTTCCATAATCTTTACTAGATATTTAATTTAATGGAAAAGAAATAACCTTGTTTCTAAGATTTTATGCTGATCCAGTGTAGCAAATATACTTTAAATCTAGAAAGTCTTGATTTGCTCATCAAATCAATTGGGAGTGCTCCATGTTTACAAACAGTTGCGTATAAAGACATTCTAATTAAGAAAGTGCAAATTTTCTTAATGAGCTCTATACTTTCTATAGTTCAAAAAATATTAGACTGCTGATTTTATGTAGTTTGGTGAGATAAATCATTTTACCATAAACTCTATGTCATTTAATACGAGATTCATTTTGAGCTATCTGTCATCCATGGATGTTGAAGTCTGAATTACTTCAAGCTGCCCCTCCAATACTTTAAATATTATGGCTGAATGTCGTATTGGTAGAGAATCCTGTAAATAAGCCTCTTATTAAATGATTTTGAATTGATTGTTTTGTTGTTTATCGATGACAAGTTATGGAATATACAAGATATCATCCGAGTTTTAACCACTTTTAAGTCTGACATTTTCAATGTCCCTAAGATATGCTTCTTGCAATATAGAATGCTCCTTTGCATAAGACAAAATATCTTGATTTTGGCTTATGCTCACATGATTAAATGTGTATCTCTTCAAGTTGAGTAAAATAAGGGGAGTGTGCTGAAGGTAGTAAGGAACCAAGTAAAACGCTAGAAGAAGAAAAAAAAGACTATTCTTCCTCTTTTTTCACCCTTTTTCCTTTCTGCTTTGATGTCTCTTTGCTCCAAAGGCAAGCAAATCCTTGAGCTTCAGGAGAAGTACTTCCTCTTGTTGCATATTTAATATAGGCTTTCTTTTACATCTGGGAAGTCTTTTAACAATTCTATTGGGTAATCATTTGCCAGGATGCTCCTGCATTTAGAAGTACAAATGGATGCCAAACTGTTGAAACTGAAGAGAATTTGCAACTTGGTGGACAGAAGCATGTCACTTTATCTGAAAGTTTAAAATCTAGCCTGGACCACTTGAATAATGAGGTATTTCTTTGTGTGAATAAGTTTTTTGTTATTAATAGTCTGGTTTTCTTCCATTCTTTCTTCTTATAGTTCTAATAACTTGTGATAGAAGTATAGTCTTTCCATATGCATGCGAGGGAATGTAAATATCATTTGCTTTTCCCTATTGAGTTGTTAATTTCATAGTTCTGTCCAATGCCAATGTAGTCTAACCCTTTTCTGACTAAAACATGTGATCTGATTTCTGTCTTCCAATTGCAGTTGGAAAAAATGAAGAATGAGAATTTACTTACTTCAGTAGATGACTGTAACTTCGAGTCAAGTTTTCCAGGCTTGCAAAGAGAATTGATGCGGCTTCATGAGGTGATGGATTCTATCTCCATGGACCGAAGCATGTCTTTCATTTCATTTTTATTTATTTTGCCTTTTTTCCAGGCCAATCAAGAGTTGGGGGATATATTCCCTGTGTTCAATGAAATCTCTCTCAGTGGTAATGCAGTGGAAAGGGTGCTTGCTTTGGAGATTGAACTAGCTGAAGCATTGCAGGCCAAGAAATCAAGCATACAATTTCAGAGGTACATTCTTCTTTGCGTCAGTTATGAAAATTTGATGAAAATTTTTTTGTTGGCATTTTGGAAGTAGGCTGTCTTTACTCTTTACAGTTCCTTTCTCTTTATGCGCTCGATTCTGTTGTACACATCACTTTAAGGTGTTTGCTGTGATATTAACCTTGAGAAGTTACCATCACTTTGTTTAATAGTTATATGGTGCGTATTTTTCTTACTCTTTTTGGTCCAAATGATGAAATAAATCGAATTCCTCTTTATTGCCTTCGTGCCTGGATTAAGAGGGTTCCCGTTGCTTAGGGCTTTGTTCTGTTGATAGCATGACATGATTTGCTGTTGGATGGTTAGAAATTGACGCAAAGGCATGATATTTTCCCCCACACTGCAGTTCTTTCTTGAAACAACACAGTGACGAGGAAGCAATATTCCGAAGCTTCAGGGATATCAATGAGTTAATCAAAGACATGTTGGAATTAAAGGCAAGACATGTTGCTGTGGAGACGGAACTGAAAGAGATGCATGACCGTTACTCTCAGTTAAGTCTTCAATTTGCAGAAGTTGAAGGTGAAAGACAAAAACTCATGATGACTCTCAAGAATTCCAGGACAACCAGGAGGGACCATTCTTTGTAGCCAATGGAAAACTGCATCTGAAACCCCCGGCTCCTGGCACGAGCTCGTCATTGATGGTCCCATCCTATCATCCCTCCTAAGGTTATGGTGAGTGTGTGTATGTATAGCGCCGGGGGGGGGGGGGTGGGACTTCGGCCATGGCCAAGGGTGGTTATGGTATATCATCATTTTTCAAATCAAGACGCTGATAAATACTTTGTAAATAAAATTGTTCCGTCCCTGGCTCGTGCCCTGTAACATCGCGGTTTTAGTCTCGGTGCTGAATCGTTTTGCTGTACAGAAACAATTAAGTTCATACAAAGATCATTTCTATTTAAAAAAAAAAAATGGACGGCGAGTAGTTCTTTTTGCTTCTGGAAGGCTTATATTTCACGAACGTTTTCTTCTGTTGCTTAATACATTAAATATGTTGGTCGCACACGACCCGCTATAGGCTCTGAGCTTGACCTTTAAAATCACATACCTTTTGAAGTTCTATTTATCGCTCAAGGTGTCTTATTAAGAATTTCAAAGCGAGGTCCAACACTAAATATAATCATATTTTCAATATATATTCAAATTTTAATTTATCATGTTGTAATAGTTTTTTTTAATATTTTTGGCTGGACCTAACCTCATCAGCGCGTTTTAAATTTTAAGGCTCGAGTGTTCATCAGAGCAGCAAAAACGTTTTTTTTTTTTTTTGCCAAAAAAGTTTAAGTACTTAAAAAAATATGTAAAGTAATGAAACAAGAGGCAGACTCAGATTTTGGGCTTGGGGTCTACCACTATGGTATATAGAGTACGGAGGGTGAGGCTTTCATTCTCAGCATCATAAGAAGTCTTCGTGTTTGGACCATGTTGATCCAAAATATCTTATCAACATAACCGGCCCTCCCGCTGTCCAATGGCCAGTCTCCGTTTCGTTTGGAATTCTTATCAGACTGTCAGCTTCAATAAATTATCATTTTGGAATTAACGGAAGATGCGTCAACGTGTATCATGTGTTAAGAGTTTTAACTTCAAGCCTGTTTGAAAACTTATTCTGATAATAATTTTCTGTTTTAAAAAAAATTATTTAATAATATATTTTTAAAAAGTATTTTGAAAAATAAAAAATAAAATATTATTTCAGAGAATAAAAAAATAAAACTAACTTTTAAATATTTTGAAATTATTGTTCTAAAAAATTAAAAAAATATTTATTTTTATTATTTTTTTTTGTTCGTAAAAACATGTTCTACAAAACATCAACTCTCATAATAATAAAATAAAAATAATTTCAAACAGTTCCTTTATTTTTTTTAATATATTTATATTGAATGACATTTTTTTAATCACAGTAGCAAGCTCAAAGCTTGAAGATTAAAATAAGTAAACATTGGAAGTCATCGCCACAGTGACCCCATCCTACGTTATTGTTCAGCACGGAAATTGTTCTTTTATATGGCTTCATCGATGACGACTGCCATGATGGCTCTCTCCTTCAACAGTGATAGTCCCGCTTTTTTCATTTTCGTCTGTATACTTCAACATGTGGTGTGGTCTTCTGTGATTAGGCAGGATGGATCTCATCTCTTGCTTTATATGGGGCACATTGTCTAAACCCACTTGTTTATGATCTTTAACAATGTTTTGTCTGTGTAGCCTGCTCACACATCATCATGTGTTCTTTGACCATTACCAACATCAATTAGACTTTGTCTGAAAATTGATCCCATTTCTACATGATGGACCTTTTCAGTATTTTTTCTTCTTCAAGTTGAGAAGTTACAATTGCGGTAGTACTGTGTTGTCCATTCTTGGCACCACCAACTCATGAATTTTGACCTCTAGGGAATATTTGGGTCCAAAGATGACAGCCCTTTCTCTATGTGAAAACCAGCCGCCAGCCAGCCCCGATCGTGTATCATATGCGCTCAATCACAGTTCTTCACCTGCAAATTTTAAAGTATGACGTCGGCTGGCCTATGGATAATCTTGCTGGCCTATGGATAATCCTGAGTGCTATAAACAATTGTGAGAATGACAAAATGGATGTCTAAGACAATTAATGCCAAGTTATAAATAATTGAGATTTGGGAGAATGGCAAACAGAGACCTCATAAATAAATTAATGTCAAGTTAAGATCATTTCATAACTGAAGTTATCAATTCATTATTGCTTTTTTTATATTTTAATACTAAAATTTTTTAAAAAATCTTGATTTGACATTTTCTCATGAGATCTTTACTTGTTCTTCTTCTTAAAATTAATCATAACATAGGTAGGTTAGTTTATCTTTCCTATAAAGAGCATCTTGTTATACATTAACTTTTTAAAAATAAAAATATATACTTTTATATCTCTCTCCCAACTAAAAAAAAAAAACTTTTATAATTGATATATAAATAAATCAGAACACAAATGAATTACATAACTCACACATTTCATTATCTTTTCATTAGACAATTCTTCTTCTCCATATCTTTTTTTTTTGGCTTTACTGTAATTTTATTAAAGTTTTTTTGGGGGAAAAAAGAAAATTATTAGAGTTTCAATTAAATTTCATATGTGTAAAATGAATAATGTGCAAAACTAAATGGAAGGCTTGAAAATTTGACCCACAAGTGCCACATTGTCTGGAATAAATATCAAAGCAAGTTCCTCAACAACAATTTACCATGCATCTGTAGAGGGATCAAAAACTTCAGCAGACTGAAGAGGAATCAACCCAGCTTGACCTTGACTAACCCCTCCAACCACATAAAGCTTGTTGTTTAAGATGCCTGTCTTACAATATGCCCTACCTGTAGACATGGAGGTCACCTTGGCCCATGTGTTTTGTATCGGATCATATCGCCAAACACATCTCATAGTTGAAGATTTAGAGAATCCGCCTAGAACATAGAGACATCCCTCAACAGCTCCAATGGCACAACCGCAAAAAGGCATTTCATCTAATGCACCCTTCAGTCCCAGCAAACCTCTAATAACTTCAGCAATTCTAATACCTTCCACCATGTTCCACATCCGAGGCCTAGAAGAACCCTTTCTAGAGTCTTCTTCATTAACAGAATTAGGCATAGCAGGCAGTCTCTGCCATTTTTGGGAACGAGGGTCTAAGGCATGCCATATAAGCTTATTTTCTCCAACATTAATCAACAGATATAGCCACTCTTCCGTTGTTCCAAGTTCTTTTCTTAATTTATATAGTTCAGAACTCACGATAGTGTCCTTCCACTTCCTCGACACCAACCTCATGTTGAAGTGGCAAATCCTAGGAACTCTGGCGATAATCTGAAGTGACAATTCATCAGGAAGATTTGGAATTAACCTTGGACTCTCCTCATCAAAGCTAGATGACATTCTTCTCCTCTTGCAGATCTCATTCTGAAAGACCTCATCACCCTCACTTCTATCGAATTTGGTACTTGCCATACTAAAAAAAGAACCCATAATGGGCAAAATTCAATATCTGCACGAAAACAAAATCATAATTATAGTAAGTTGGCTTTCAGTCCAACTGCTCGAAAACTAAGGGGCCAATTTATGAGAGTTTTATTGTGTCGATGGAAAAGAAGTAAAGGAGAAGATAAGCAGCATTTATAAGTCATAAAGCTTGCCATCACACACATACCCAGGTGTTCCAATGATCAAACTAACGCAACAATTTTAGACAGTATCCACCATAGGTACAGCCGTAGCTAGAAAAGTTGCCGGTGTCAGAACTCTAACAAGATGTCCAAATAAAAATATTCTTAGAGTACAATTTCAAAACTTTTGCTTTAATTCAACTAAAAATGAAAGCATGTAACTTAAAAGCTTCAAATGACCCCTCTCCATATCTTGGACTTTTTTTTTTGTGGGGGGGGGGGGGTTTGTTAAATACCCAAAGAGGAAGACAATTGCATAACAACTAAAGCAAACACCAACCGGCCCATGATAGATTCAAAATAAGTAAAAACAAAATGATAAAAAAAATAACAAGTTGCAAATAATACAAAGTAATGATCAACGCATCCAAATAAGCCCTCCATGAACGTTCAAAAACCAAAAAAAACAAAAACTCTTCATGTTCTAACACAGATTTTGAACTCCTCGAAATGGCAAACACAGAAAAAAAAAGTCCTCTCTGACCGCCCAAAACAATTAAAGGAAAGGAGAAGAAAAGGAACCATTCGGTCCATCAGAAGATATAGATCCTCGACCACGCAGCCGCGATCTGTCGACGAAAGGAACCAAAATAATATTTCAGGATTTCAGCCTGCCGTGGTTAAGGCGAAAAGTCTGAGCACTTCCCCAAAGCAAAAATAACACACTTCCCAGGCAACAGTGGAGTTCTTTCCTTTCCCTTATTCCCTGTCTGGGCTGAGCAAAAACTTGACGAACGCAGTATAATTAAATGACGAAAGGGAAAAAAAAAAACTATTATCGACAGAAAACATCGACATTGTGAAGCTGAGAGGCACTATTCAATTTTGGAATCGAGTGTCTATTTGGCGGTAAATTACACTCACAATTTCAATAATCAATAAGCCAGAATCAAACTTCACTTCGAATTACCGACAGAAAAAGGGGAGGGAGGAACGGGAGAGACCAGGAATCAAACATAGAGGAACAGTAAGATAAACATCAAAGTTCAACTAGAAAAAATCTGAGAGCAGAAGGGGAGTGGAAATTCAAAAGGCAAAAAGAAGAAAGAAAGAATGAAACAGAATCTAACCTGGCAAAGAAGGGAAGAAAGAGAGAGGAGAAAAGGTGTAAAACTTGTAATTGAAATGCTGAGGGAATTTGGCATTGAGAGAATGGCCATGTCCGAGGAGGCGTGGGAGGATGAAGGGGGCATCTGGTAAGGTGGGCTCTCAATTTTCCAGTGGGACCTACTTGGGATAATTGGACACACGCAGCTCCCTCATTGACGACGTTGTTATTATTTGTAAACGATTTGCATAAAATAAAAATTATCTTACTTTCCATGATTTCAACCGAGACCAACTCTATCACTAGATATTTTCGTACTGCCGAAATTAATGTTCTAGAAACCGGTTGAGCCAACCGGCCAACAACTGAAGTAAATCCAAAAACTGGCCTGTTCACTACCTGACCGGTTCGGCAAAATTTTTTTTTTTTTTAATTTCCTCCAGATGTTTCAAAAATGCTGCGTAAAGATTTAAAACAAAAAAAAAAAAAAAACTGAGAGAAGAATGAAGTGAGAATACTAAAACCAGAGCTGAAGAAGATATGAGATGAGAGGGAGAAGAACAACACGTGATATGAAAGCATGAAAGAATGGAAAATATATATATATATATATATATATTCAACATGAAAAAGCCTAACAAATCAGAAAGAATAACAGAACCAAAGTAAACACACCAAGAAAAACATTTTATCAGTGTTACTAGGAAAATGTTGGAGAACGGAAAACGAGAAAAATTTCTCGCAAAATGTAGATAGACATGAAGAAGCAAGCTGACTAAATGGAGAACCAAAGAAGCACAGCTGAAGCAAAACCCAAGCGACTTCTCTTTCTTCCCATCAGAGACGACCTTTCTCCGCGCTTCTCTTTATTATATATATATATATATAATTTATTATATAAGGATATACTTAAAATTTTATATATTTTAATTTTTTTATACTTTTTATTATGATGTACTGGTTTCTAATTATTTAATTTAAAATGATTATTTCATTAAAAATAATATAATAAAGCTGCGTGACATTACATCATCTACATATAGCTTAGCGTGAGTAAAGCAATTTTCAGAAAATTTCACATTTTGTATTGATGATTCGAAACCTTCCTTTGACCGTTGGCAAACAATCCCGTGAGGTGATCACATTGCAACCGAGACAACTCATCTTTTACTAAATCTTATCATTGAACTTTTTAATGATGATAAAATTTTGCAAGAAAGAAAAATTATACCTGAAAACATATAAGCACAGTATGCGAGTCGTTGATCCAGAGAATGTTAGAGCCATCTAAAAAATTTTGACTAAAATTTTGTTTTATAGTCACTTGAACTCTTGTAGGATTTTTTATTTTTTAATTTAACTGACCATATTTAATATATTTTTAGTTTAATTGTCATAAAGTCATATTTGAAAGTGATTATTCGCAATTAAAATATATGCGTTGGAAATAATTTTCGCACCAAAATATCTCAAAGATCTATAAAAGAATCTAATTTCAAGCAATTGTGAGTACACCAAGGACGACAGTCCCCCCCGCCCCCGGTTTTTTTTTTTTTTTTTTTTGCAAATTGCATGGAAATTGTATGCAAAATGCTCTAGTTTGTTCTCAATTAACTAATTGACATGCAGCAAATTTTTTGTATAGTCTATCAATATTTTTAAAAAAATTAGAATCAATTCATTTACAGAATATAGATAACCGATAAAAATTACTGGTGGTAGTTTTATTCATGAGAATAAATTTTAAAATAATTACATGAAAAGAACTAAATCAATAAAATTTTAATGAGATTCTGTGCACAAGTTTTGAGTGAAAAAAGAAAAGGCCGATGCCCAATACTTTAATTTAAAACATAATAAGAAAACAAAACCGCAATTTTGATACTTTAATTGTATGTATGAGGACCTTTCTCCGGGTCATAAAAAAAGACTCGTGTTTTAGTTTAAAATAACTGTTTCTCATAAAAATAAAAATTATTTAAATAAATGTTTGTTGTGTTTCGTGTGATTCAACAGGCGTCGTGTAAACATCATCTTAGACAAGGTTTGGTTGGCGGATATTCGTGTACGATGTGTTACTCGTGCTACACGTTTTCTTTTCGCCTTTGGGGTCCCCACTCTCCAGTGGCTCACTGACTTGCTTGCAGGGGCCAACAGATTGTCTGCTTTGATAGTTCCTAATTCAAAAAATTAATCATTTAATTTTTATAATTTTAATTAAATTATAATTTAATTTTTTAATTTTAACCTATTATAATTCAATTTTTAAAATTTTAACTTAAATATAAATTAATTTTTAAATTTTATCTCTTCTAATTTAATTTTTAAAATTTCAACCTCTTAAATATTAATCTCTATATTTAAAAAAATAAAATTATAAAAATTAAAAATATTTTAAAATTTAATATTTATAAAAATTAAAAGGGTTTAAAAATTTAAAATATTAGTAATAAATTTTAAAATATTTTTAATTTTTATAATTTTATTTTTTAAAATATAGATATCAATATTTAAAAGGTTAAAACTTTAAGAATTAAATTATAAGAGAAAAAATTTAGGGACTAATTTACAATCAAGTCAAAACTTTAAAAACTGAGTTATAACGAATCAAAATTAAAAAATTAAGTTATAATTGAATTAAAATTATAAAGATTAAATAATTAATTTTTTCTTTCTAATTTTTTTTACTTGTTTATAAGCATTGTAAAAACTTATTTGAGATATTTTTTTTGAATATTTGTAAGAGTCTTTTATCATTTAAAAGGTAAGCATAAAAAAAAAATAAAAATTTTAAAATAATTTTTTTGTCTACTTGTAATATGTTACTTTATGTAAATTTAAATTTAAATAAAAATTTATTCTATTTAAAGTTTTTTTTACTCCCTCCGTTAAAAAATGTTAGGTATTTTTAATCAAATCTTATTCTCTAATAAAATAGTTACCTACTTTTAAACTAACTCTATCTTTTTATATTTATCCCTATTAAATATCCTACAATAAAATAAAGTCATTACTAATAAGAACACTTTTAAAAAAAAAAGATAATGATTACACCTCAAAAGATTAAAAAAGCTTTACATTTATTAACATTTAACTTCTTAAAAAATATCTTACATTTTTTAATAAAAAGAGTACTATTTATTTAAGTCTTACATTTTTTAATGGAAAGAGTACTATTTATTTAACTATATATGAATGGTAACACTTTAAAAGATAAAAATAAAAAATCATTTATGTTTGTGTACTCAAAATAACATTTGTTGTTGATTTTCATAAATTAAAATTTAAATAATAATTTATTTCATAGTAAAAATTGGTTTGACCATGCATGTTAATTGTGATAGTATTAGGAATAAAATTTAAAAATTATTGTGATATTATGTTATATATATAAAAATACAATCAACTCATGATAGGTCTTTTACCTATCATTTTACTATAAGCCATGCATAATCTTTTAATGTAAAATTTGATTTAAAAAAATGAGCCAATATTTATCCTATTTAAGTTTATTTTATTTTATAATTTATCATCATCTATATTTTAAAAATAAAATTAAAAATATTTTATACAGAATTTGTTATTTAATGTGAATTAAGATTTGAAATAATAAAAATTATCCATCAAATTATACACATATTTTTTATAATTTATATAAATTAATTTTTTTATTTCATTTATGATTTATATTTATATTTATAACAAAATTAATTATCTTATACACATATAAAATACAAACAACAAATAACAAGTAGAGTTAGGGGTGCACATGGGCTGGGCTGGGCAAGGCCTTGCCTGATGCCCTGCCCAAAGGATGTATGGGCTGAAAAATGTAGCCCGCTGCCCAGCCCTACCCGCAAAATGCCCAATTAACTTGGGTTGGGCAGGGCAAGCTGGGCACCTTCGGGTCGCCCTCCCCATCAAATAATCTCCCTTTCCATCAACTTCAAATGAAACCACCATAAATTAACAACAATGACCCAGCCCATCAACTCAAAATAACATTCATAAAATGTAAACCATAAATACAAAATAACAGCTATGATATCCAATTATCTATAATTCAACATCTAACTTGAAATATAAAACTATTATAAATCTTGACATATAGTAAAATTATCCATAATACAATCCAAAATAACAACTACAATAATCCATTAAAAACAATAAATTTTACAAAAGTTTGGAGTATCATGAAAAAAAAATAATTTCAGAGAGTAGACTTTAATTTACAAAAAGCTTCTTCCCAATTCCTTTTTTCATCTTTCCTTAAGTCTTAATAGTTAATATAATTGACCCTTTAAAAAATTTAAAAAATATATTAATGTACTCGGGCTGGGCCAAATGGGCAGGGCATGCTATCCTGCTCGTGGCCCGGCCCTGCCCAAACATGCCCAAGTCATGTCGGGCAACTTTTTTTAAGGCCGGGTTGGGCAAAATTTTACCGGGTTCGAGCGGGCATATCGGG